ATTTCAGGACTTTTCTGTTCATCTCGATCCGTTCTACCTTCTCACGAGCTCGTGGACAAATGTTATAACTCACCCTGTATATTATTTGTGGTTATTAATTAATTATAATATGCAATTATAATATCGGTTGAAATCGTAAAAGAAGTTTCGTTTTTCTGGATCTCACATCATTTATTATTTGTATGTGTGCATGTACATGTACGTGATATACGTACTTTGAAGATGCGTCTTGCATAAATACATGCATAGTCACACGCATCTTTGTATTTTCGCGGTCGGTTTTCGCGATCGGTTTTTCAGGAAAAAATTTCAATTAATTATTTAATTTTATCCATATTATAAATTTTAATTTATCGAGAAATATGATTAAAATCACTAGCGCGAAGTAAATTTTATTCTATATCTACTTGAATTTCAAATTCAAAGATCAAATTACGAAGAGATGGTCAATATTTTTGAACAAATAACGGAAGTAAAAATAAATTTGTTTCGTATATACAGTAAAGTTTTTTGAATTAATATTCTTCTTTAATTAATCTCTCGTGGTCGTGCATTTTGTGATATACGATCGTCACTCGTATATTCGAACCGTACGAAATATTTGTCGGTGACGATAACCGACTATGGAAGGAGTTTCCTTCCTTCCTGATCTCTGGTCAAAATGACCAGATTGTATGGCCGGGAGCAACGAAAGGTAGGTCCAATCTGGCCCAACGAGGGAAAACTAGATACAACGAGGTTAAGTGGTCAATATTGGCCACTCTGATGGTGTATAATTTCTTATAATTTGTTACAATTCGGGTGGGTTATGCTTCTATATATATACATTCTCGCATATGTGCGAGAGTGAAACCTCTATTAAATCCCGCGTGCGCGTTAAACTCCAAGTCAACCCCCTAGAAAATGGCGTCGCGATTTATAATTAAAAATTTGTAGGTTTATTATATTGAAACATGGGTAGGTAGAAAATGGATAGGTAGATCTATAGATCGGAATACGGGTAGGTAGAGATTCGGATAGGCAGGGACAAGGGGGCATAATTCGATAGTTTAAAAGAATAGGTAACATAAATTAACTAAGTAACAATAACTTTAATATAATAAGTACATAAAAAGGATTTCGTGTTATTGTACGCACACTGAACATTTCATATATATGTAACGTTTAGAGAAATATTGTAGGTATTGTACATCAGGTATTACATTTTTAATTTTATAATATAATGATTTCTTTTATAATATTGCAGGCATTGTAAAGTAAATTATAAGAAAAGTGAAATAAATAATAAAAATGTAAGAAACCAAATTGTAAAGAAAAGAGAACCGTCGATTAAACGCGGCGGGGGTGGTGGAGGGCCTCTATATGTATAGGTTGATTTGTTTCTATCGATTAAAATTTTAGTTCAATTTGATTCATATAGTCCTTTTAATCAATAGATTTTCATTTGCAATTGATCGATGAATTTGCCTTTACAAGTTGATTTTTCATTTGCACATTAATAAAAAATGTTATACGATAACCACATATATATGTGTAACACGTTCTGTGTACTGTGTAACATTTTCTATTATTATATTAATGTTTTACATTGTAAGAGTTAGGTATGTGTTATTGTAAATATGTCATATGTTCATATGTAATTTTATGTCATAATGGAAAATCGTATATATTTTTTATTGTATATCATGTTTTTAGTTTCACTATGTAACTTTCTCTTTCTTTATATTTTTGTATATATTTCAAAATAATTTGTGAAAAAATTAATTAAGTTATAAAAATGTAAAAACGCAATTTTATCGCAAACAAAAGAGGACCGCCGATAAGAATTCGGCGGGGGTGGTGGAGGGCCTCTACAAGTTGGTCTGTTTTTATCGGATAAAACTTTAATTTAAATCTAAAAGGCATCATTTCATTTATAATCAGAAAATGCAAAGTTATAATAAAATATATAGATAACTAAGTTTATCGAGAACAATCTACTACAAATTTTGTTGGCAAAAGGAGTACAACGTAGCTTGTCAGCAAATTTTTATATTTAGCAGTTATACATATAATTTATATGTCAGCATTTTACTTTTTATTCCATTGCCGTATGTAAGCTTCATGTCTAGCGCCTCGAATGTTACGAGATATCGATAGAATTGGTTCGGAGGCATAGGAAACTCGTGTCGGAACTACGGATTTCTACAATTTTTACTTTTCATATACAACTTTTGTCTCAAACATTTGTTTCTAAAATGCATAGTTTTCGAAAAATTTTGAGATTTCCATACTTTTTATAATTATTAAAGTTATACTATTGCACATGGCCAACATAGCAAAAGTATTACGATATCTGTAATTTAATTCTCGAAAACATGTTAAAAATGATAAGAATTTTATAAAAATAAGTGCAAATAATTCTATGCATATATGTATACATATATGTTCTTGATGAACTACGTAGACGAGTCAAATATCGTATTCGTCAAAATTCTTCGTAAATATGTATAGAATTATTTGCACTTATTTTTATAAAATTTTTATTATTTTTATCATTTTTATTTGAGCAACCACCCTCCTTAAAGGTAATTAGAAGATTTCTAATCCATACGTGCCTTCTCTTATCCGCGTATTCGACTGAGTCCGCGCATCTACTATACTCACTATGTCTATGACTATCACTGTCGCCTATCGCCAGTCGCCAATGGGTTTGTTTTTTATGGCTGAACTAGCTGCACTAGTTCAGAGTTTATCTTTCTTCTTCTAATGTGGAGGGAAAAAGATAAACTCTGAACTAGTGCAGCCGGTTCAGCTATAAAGAACAGACCCAATGTCGCCCATCGCTATCGCTATCGTCGATCATTGTGGAAGGGCCTTTACAGATGGTTAGAAAATCGTCCAGCTGTTCTATACCATTGTCAGAAATGAGTACTGTCGGCGTACGACCACGAGTCTTTTATAGATGAACATATAGCAATTTATTTATTGCTTGTTTTGCATCATTAAAAATCGAACATGAATCTGCCGAAGATAGTTGGAATTTCGAGAGTAAAATGTGTTCTTGACAGAAAAGCACATATCTTTGGTAATGTAAATACGCAAGTGAGATGTAAAGGCAAACTGACGAGACCGAAAGCCTTCGAGTCGAATAGATATCAAAAATCGGAGGAAAAGATTGGACTGTATGGATATTGCTTGTTGGCAAGTAATGACAAAACTAATACCTACTGATTATTCTAAAATTTTGTTTACATAATAACAAAGAACTGCATAAAAAGAATTATAACTCAAGTAATGTTTTTCTAATTTAAGGAAAAAGTATATTACACTCTGTAATAGATGTATCATATATTAGACATTTTTGGCCTATATATAGAAGGGATGAAAAATAAAATTTACAATTAGATGTAAAGTTTATTTTGTTACATGTTATTAGACATATTAAAACTGCAATATTTTATAAGTATGTATGATATAAAATGTAGGCAAGAAATGTATATAATAGTTTAAAAATTTAGAGAACTTACGTTCCATTGGTAAGTTTTAAATTTAACTTTTGGATACTGCAATTTCTGTAATTTAGGGAATACCTATCGCCACCTTTGCACTTGGCACATGGCAAATAAAGAGATTGAGATGGAAGCTGGATTTAATAGAAAATCTAAAGCAACGCATTTCAACAGAGCCAATCGATCCGCCATCTGAGTAAGATTATGATATATTGTAAGCATATGCTTGTTACAATCGTTTGATGGAAATGATTTTCTTTTAGCTTAAACGAACTGAAAGATAAAGAATATTATTGTATGAGAGTCAAGGGTAAATTTTTATATGAAAAAGAACTTTTGATAGGACCTAGAAGCCTTATTGTCAATGGAGAAGCCGTCAGCGAAAAAGGTGGCGGCATATTTTCTCGCAAAGCAGGCACAGGATATTACGTGATTACGCCTTTCAGACTGGAAGATCGAGAGTAATTACATTAATTGTTAATCATGAAAAGATATAGGAACATTTATTTTACATTTTCTGGTATGTTGTGGAATTAATTTAGAATTTTTTCTCAATTAGCTTAACTATTATGGTGAATCGTGGATGGATTCCTAAAACTGATCGCTCGACGTTTAAAATGGGAACTAAGATTACAGATCCTGTAGAAATTGTCGGCATTATTAGAACAACTGAAAAGCGACCTCCGTTTGTGCCTAACAATGCTCCTACGAAGGGTGTATGGCATTTTAGGTACAAGCACATACTTAATTTTATTCCATTACTCGTTTGTGTATAAACGCAACATTTTAAAGAAATTTTTAAGAAACGATATGTTCTCTATTACGTAAAAGTTCAAACATATACATTATTTCAGAGATTTAGATGCAATGGCAAAGGTGACAGAAGCAGAGCCCGTGTACATAGAATTATTGGCCGAATACAGCACCCCCCACGGCCCGATTGGAGGCCAGACGAAAGTAACTTTAAGGAATGAACATTTTAGTTACATAATTACTTGGTATTCGTTGTGTGCCTGCACGAGCTACATGTGGTTTCGACAGTTTGTGCAGAAGTTACCTCTCCTTTAGATGCATCCTCAGAGATGTACC